GATGCTTCCTTGACAATTTAGGGGCCCTGACGGAACTTCTGGCTGCTCTCCTGGAACAGCTGAGACCATAGAGAGAGCACTGCTAGAATCCTGCGAGGACAGGGACATCCAAGGTCCCTCTGTGGAAGCTCATTTAGTGGTGAATTCACAGCCACATTCGATGAGAGAGGTGAAGTGGGGGAGCCCAGGCTCAGCACTCAAGTATAGGGAGAGAATCAGTCAGTAGGGAGCACGTGAGCTGATTTTCCACCTTGCTTTCCCTTCGGTCTGAAATTCTCCCTACAGCCTGGGGAATAAAGCAGAGTAAGCAGAATTCATACTAAAAACTCGTGATGAGACCGTCACATGCGCTCTGCTGTGGTTTTAGAGCCTGAGCCCTGGCTGCAGCCCACTCCCCGATGTTTCCATGTGGACTCCACTTGCCTTCTCCTCCAGGAGCTGTAGCTTCTGGGACAGCATCCCACCCATATCTCGGGGGTCTGAGGGCGGGGCCGTGTGCCTGGGGATATGAGGGCCCCCCTCCCCTCCCCACACCCCTGCCGCCTCTGTCTCAAACTTTGGTTGCTGCCTGCACACACACAAATGCACAGACTCACCAAAGCCTGACATCACAGCACAGGTCCTCCGGCTGACCACGCCTGGGGCGGGATGTGAATTAAGTTGGAAAAGATCATTAAAGTTTCTTGAGGTGAGGTCATCCTGGATTTAGCATAGATTCAAAATGACTCAAAAGGTCTTGTGTTTGTTTTGTTTTTCTAGGATGTCAGTACTGATCTATACCCCCATCCATTTTTATTTACTTATTCTATTTTTATTTTGAGATGTCTTCCTAAGTCTCTAAGCTTCCCAGACCAGGCTCCAACTTGCAGTCCTCCTACCTCAGTCTCCCAGAGTGTTAGGTTTAGAGTCAGGTACCACCACACCAGGTACAAGGGTCTTAAAAGCAAAAGGCTGGAGGCATGCGGAGGAGAAAGATCAGGTAGGGCAAAGATGGACAGATGCACCTTCAAACTCAGGGGTACCAAGGTAGCCCCAGGTCAACAGAAACTGGAGGGAGGCAGGGAAGAGATCCTCCATGGAGCCTCCAGCAAGAACCAACACTGGGGGTTGATTCGAGCCGTGAGCTTCCAGAGCTATGAGAGAACACATTTCTGTTGCCTTAACCCAACCAACTTGTTCCAGCAGCTGCAGGGAGTGAGTTTGCTCTGGGCTCATGGACACTGTGTGCTCCTTGATTCATCCAATCCCCGCTTTCTGTCAAGGTGCTTACACATACCTGCCAGGACAGTTAAGATTTATGTGCACTTGAGTCTGCCCAAAGCTAACCTTGTGGTGACACAGGCCTGGTACCAAAGGACTCCTGGAAGAGCTGCAGACTCCCAAAACAAGAGGTGATTTCTTCTGTGCTGGCTGAGGGTCACCAGCTGCACAGTAACCAGCTGCACACTGGTGGCAGGTGTCAGGGGTGGGGCAGACACTGTGCTTTGCAGACTGCAAACTCTGCGGTTTCAGGGGTGCAGCCGTGGAGGGCTCTGCTGGCACACAGCACCCGTGAGTAACCCATGAGCAGCTCAGCCTCTTGCAAAAGATGACTCGGGCTCCTAGGCCTTCTCCATCTCCTATCTCTGTCCCCTGGGAATAGGCTCTCAGCTCTCTGGAGGTGGTGGAATCGAGGAGGGCGACTTCCTCCCCAGGAGCCACCTGATTTTACTCCCTCTGCATTGGTGAGAATCAGTGCCAGAGCCCTGTCTCAGCCCGCAGGGGTGGACAAGGGGAGAAGCAGAAGAGTGTGCAGGTGACATGGGAGACTCCATCCTGATGAGCACGGAGGGGACCAGGACAGGGGTGACCTGGCTGCTGGCTTCCATAGGGACTTTTTATCACTCTCTATGAGGAGCCCAGGGGCCGGGCAAAAGCCTTTAAATGCTGTAAACTGGGCAGGGTGGTGGGTCAGAGACCTGTAATCTCAGCACTCTAGAAGGCTCTGGGAAATTTAGTGACTTAGCAAAAGGATCTGTCTCAAAAACTGAGTGGGGAGTGAGGACGTCGATCCATGTGAAGGCCCAAGATTCTCCCTTTAGAACTGGAAGAACGAATACATTGTGTAAAGGCGATGACCTGGGATGGCCACTGCTCTGAGTGACGTCTGTGCATCCTGACAACCTAAACCTCACGTGCAGATCCTGCCAGTTCTGCTCCAAAGCCCGCCCGACTGGAGACCATGCACGTGGCTGAATTAATACCTTTATCTTTGGTGAACCGAGGCTCAAGAGCAGCACTTGATGATTAATCCCGATGCACTGCCTAGAATGACAGCCCTCCGCGGACAAGCACGGGGGCAGTGACATCTGCCTCTGCTGAGCGGATCATCCCTGATAGAGATAATGGGCGTCACAATTTTCCCCGGGCCTTATTTTTAGCAATACTTTTTCTGTGCTGAATACATCATCCCAGCATGCATCGAATTACGCAGCAAAGCAACATTTCCTTCACGTAACAAAGGGTGCAAACCTGTGTTTATGAAATAAGCCATGGTGACTGTCATTATCGACTAGGCCTTACCACGATGACCTTTCAATTATTCGTGGAAATTGTTTTCTTTTACAGGAGATGGGGCAGGTGAAAGGAACGGCTTAAGGAGGAGTTTGGGTTTAAGGAAATGAAAACAATCAGGAGGGGCCATCAGAAGGAGAGTTGTGCAGAAGCTGTAGAAAGTCGCTCATTCGCCTCAAGAGTCCCTTCACAGACACTGCCACTGCATACCCAGGTCCGGAGTGCTGTGCAGAGAGGCATTGTCCTAGAGGAATCCTTTTCTGGGTCTGGGGCTGCCTGTGAGCCAGAGTCTGCTTATCAGCGAGAAGGAAGAGCGAAAAAGCCCTGGGAGGAGGTTGTGCAGACAGAGGAGCCAGGGAGGAGGCAGGAGCTGTGTCTAGACTCGCCTGGCCTCGCAGGTCGCCTTGCCACGAGGTGCTTTCCCATCTATGACCTCATTTCATCTCCAAAACAACCTGAGGCTGGGCGGGGCAGAGCCTCAGGCCCTGGCTAGACACAGCTTTAAAGTCCCCTGTGTCCCTTGTCATTTCATGCCGCACATCCAGCTCCGGGCAGAGTGCATTCTAGGGTCCCACTCACTGGCAGGTCAGGGCCACCACTATGCACCCCAGATGGTGCTTTCACATCTGAAAACTTAGGTGGGGCTGAGCCGTACTCCCACTTTTAAGCTTGGGGGGAAAATGTGCCCCTTTCTCAGAAACTCTCAAGCTGCAAGTTCCTCTGGGAAACAGGCGGCCCCACCCTCCTCTCACAGCCGACGTGTCTGGTGTTGCAGCCTCACCCCACCCCAGCCAGGCAGCACTGCAAGGAGGGGACTGTGAAGGACATGTCGACCCATGCTGTAAGAGGAGGAGGAGGACAATGAGCCCTTACCCTGCCTCCACCTCCAGCAGTCGGCCACAGCAGGCTCCTCCTGGGCAGGCAAAGGCCAGGTTGTGGGCATCTGATCTGAAGGATGCTGGGTAGGGGGACAGGGTACCTGGTGGGACTGGAAGAAAGCTGTAAAATAAGGATCTGTTCACTAACTTTTGTCAGTCACTTAAAACCTTGTGTCTCCTTCCTGCCCATTGGCCATCATTTTGTCTCCCCTTGTTCTGTGTAATTGTGACATCAGAACCAGCTATGAAGCCCAGAATGGGTTCCTTTCAAGCTCTGGAGATGTGAGCATCACGGGACCCAACAGCAAGGTGGGAACTTACGGCATAGCAGAGGAAACCAAACAGGTGCAAACTCAAAACCTTGAGGGCAAAGTTCAACCTTGGGAAAATAAAGTGACTGCCCAAGTCTAAAATAGGCCTCCTCGGCTGCTCAGGTCAAGTGATGAGGCCATGTGGCCCTTTTCCCGGAAAACAGGATAAACAGCTCTCCATGACATCTCGAATACCACCTGGCTTCCCCAAAATTTGCTAATGAAAAGTTAAATTTGGGTCGCACATCAATTAAGGGTTTTGATCTTTATTTTTACTTTTAATGTTTTTTTTTTTTTACAGTGTGTCATCCTGGTCCCAAAATTGTCTTTTGAGAATTTGGGGGGTTTTAATGCTTTAAAATAGTTTGTGCCCCTTTGACAGATGCAACCTGGCTCCTACCAGCTCCAGCAGCAAGGTGAGTGATACAATCAAGCCTTGCTCTTTGTTAAACAAAAACTTCTAAACCCACAAACACATTTACCAATGTGTCTGTTTCCGCATCCAGGGCGAGAACAATGGTTCCTCTCACAGTGGAGCCCTGGAAGACCCTATTATATCTTTTTTCATTTAATGAAATAATCACCTATTTTATATAATGCCTACTTTAGAGTTTACAACCAGACCACGTAAAGTTTCTTGACCACTACTTAGGGGACACCTGAGTTCAGAGGGCACCCCCTCTTGTGGGTCACTCCCAGCCCTGAGTTTTTTAACTATTGCCAGGTGCCCCAGGTGCCACCCCTGCGCCTGCTGAAGGTCCTGTCTGTTTTGACCTATCACTGTTTTCTTTACCAAGTGGGTATTTCCCAATGCACCTAGAGTGTGATGATCCCCCTACGTATCCTGCTGAAGAGGATGCAAGTCATGGAGAACTTAAGAGGCTCTGCTGATGGACACAGCCCTGACACCAGGCAGCTCTGCAATTACTAACACTAATCAGCCAGTGCTGGGTGGAATTTTACATAACCAGGCATTATTCATGAAATGGCTAACAAGACCAGATCTTTTTAATAAACCCCACTATTGAGGTCATTTTTCTGTAGGATGTGTGGCACTCCCATGGGTACAAAGGAGGGTACCAGGCACTGGGGACCAGCTCGGATTCGGACTCCTGCATGAGCTTCCATGTTGACCATTCAGGGTGGCCTAGACACTGACCCCAGATCAGATCACAGAACCCACCGCACATCCTCATCACCCTCTTGCCCAGCAAGGGCCTGGAGACCGAAGGCAGCAATCAGAAAAGGTCCTCAACTGTTGATTGTATAAATAATTTATTTCTGTTCACAGCATCATATATGCATTATAAAAGGGGATGGAGACAAAAGAAAGACAGAGACAGAGAATTACAGCAGTAAAACAGAAAACTGGAACCAGGGGACAGTCCTGACACCGGAACAGGGAAACTGCAAAGGGAATTGTTGAGACAAGGGTGGCCTCCCTGGGCCTACCAGAAAACACTGCTAAAACTCACTTGGGGAGGCCAGCTTCCCGCGGGAAACCCATCCCATCACAGAAGGGCAGAGGGTGTAGCCAGTCACCGGCTGACAACCGGGACTCCCAAGGTGACTCGGGTCAAAGATGAAGTGGGTTTTTCTTCAGTCAAACATGACAGAAATCAACTGAGACTCTTTAACCATGAGTTGATACACCACAGGGCTCTTGACTTTACTGCACAATTACTAACAGTTGACTGCACCCTTAAAAACTGATAATGCAAAAACCAAAATGAAACCACAAATGAAACAAAACCATCTGGCAGCATCGTTGAAGCAGGACAGGATTTGAACCTTGACCTGGGACCAAGGTATTGTCTGCACAAGAAGGTTACAGTATTTGGCATCTGCAATGTCACAAAATAAATATATTATTCTCTCAATAGTGTGGAACTACCAAAATGTCAAAGTGCTTAAGAAAAGGTTGCATGTGAAGAAAATAAAGGAAGATGGATATTTTTAATAATTCTATACAGAATCTTCAGACTATGGGACCAGCCCATTTAGAAGTCAGTGAGTTGCCTTTGATATGTAAACTGAAATCCTGCAGGCTTTTTTTTTAAATCACTGTTTAGCTATTTTCACTACTTTCTACAAAAAGACCAGCATTGGAGGGGTACCAAATACACCGACAAAAGAGGAAAGGAAGATGGGCTGCTAGATTATTTTTAAAAAATCTAAAAGATTTGGGTTTCAAGCAGGAAGCCAGAATTTCTGCTTCTGGTTTTTGAGCTGTCAGTGTCACGGGTGACAGGCATGGGCTTGCCATTTGACCAAGTCTACCCACGTTGGGATTCTCTAGGCCTCCTTCGCAAACAAATGTGTAACCGTCGGGTGGTGGGCGAGGTCAGAATTCTACCTGAAAACAGGAATTCGGAGAGGAAATAAAAATCAAAGCCAGTTAAGTCTCCCTTTTGATACTGTGTTTCAGGGGTAAATGATGGGATTCCACAAAACCAAGACTCAGTCCTGATTATAAAGGATTTTTAAAATTACATTATTAAAAATATGTCTTTATTCTTCTCTCATTTTAATCTATTTCCCAAAGCCTCTTTCAAGTAAACTGTGAAGTGCCTGAGCACCATGACCATGACGTCACGCGCTCTTTTATCTCAAGCACTGCTCCTTTGCATCTGTCCAAAGTGCCGGCTGGCTGCGAGGCCAATTTCCACTAGAATGAATTCAGCATTTCATTCTTGTGCCTTTCCTCCGCTTCTCAATCCATGCAATGAGGTCGGCTTTTGCTACAAGGTGGGGTTTTATTTATTTTTGGGGTGCATGACATCGAATTCTCTAACCAGACATTTTGAATGAGATACTTAAACCATATAGGCCACAGTAAGCCAAATTAGAAATCGGAGCATGTCACCACTTGCGGGGGTGTCAAGGGATAGAAAAGGGCAGAGCCAAGAAATCTGTTTTCCTAAGGTGATTATTCCTCAGGTGAGTATTCATTTGTAAAAGTTGTTTTAAAACCATGTTTGAAAACCCATCACCACGTGGTTAGTATTACAAGAGACATCCCTTGCCAAAAAAAAAAAAAAAAAAAAAAAAAAACAAACCATCTTGCAATTCAGCACACATCTGCAGCTAGCGTGCTCACCCAAACCAATCAGTAGGCTAAGCGAATTTAAAATTCCACACATATGGATCTAGGTACTTATGCCGATTACACAGTACAGAGAAGTCCCTATACCCGCGTACACACCCCATCCAGCATTTATGCTGAGTCTTGCCCTTAGAACACCTTTATTCTGCAGACAGTAAATGCATCGTTTGCCACCACCTCCAACAGTTTTTTTTTTTTCCTCTTAATTTTTATTGGTCTTTTTGTGTGATAATGACCTACACATGGACAGGCTCCAAGCCATCTGGAAGAGGTCTCCTTCCAGGCTGCAAAGCAGTTCTCACCACCAGTCTTCTGTAGCCACCACAAAGCCGCAGGAGGGGGGCGTCCTCGCAGTGATTCCCACCCAAGCCACCAGAGCAGCGCCGAGGCCCCCCGCCCCCGCCCGGGCTGCCCTGCCGCATGGTCCCTGCGATCCTCGAGGTGGTGGTTTGGGCCCAGAACAGGACAAATGGAATTTCAACAGGGGCCTGCCCCGTGACATAAAACGTATTCAGCTTCCATAGCCTCTGCACGGAAGGCGCAGTCCTCCCCCAGGGGCCCTCCCAGTTACCAACCTGTTCCCAGTCGGGGACCCCAGGGTTCTGGGGACTGCATTTCTTGGGTAACTCACAGGTGAGCTCCCCCCGCGGGGGCGGGGCAGCCTGAACTTCAGGCCTCGCCGAAGTAGGAAGAAATCGCTTTTGTCTGTGTCATCCGAGCCAGCCTTCCACCTGGGGCCGGAGGGCGCGCGGCAGCACCCGCACGACCACTGCCCGATGGTCTCCCACCCCATCCGAAGCTCCAGCGTTCAGACAAAAGGTCCCCTGAGCTGGTGCGGGGAGGGGGCGGGGCAGGTGGCGCACAGGGCTGGTCCGGGAGACTCCGCACCCGGTGAAGACACCAGTTCTAGGTATGGGTGCAGGGACTGCGTTTTACAGATTCGAAGCGTCGCTTTGGTTCGCTGCCTTTGTTCGCAGGCGCGGCTCATCCATCCATCCATCCATCCATTCATCCTCTACTGGTCCACGCATCCGTCCGTCCGTCGGTCCTCCCGGGACCGGCTGACTCCCCCTCGCCGCCGGGCGCATTACCGCTTCTTCTTCTGCTTGAGGGACTTCCTGCGTTTGAGGATCATCTCGTAGAGCTTGTCCATGCCCTCGGTGAGGCCCTCGCCAATGATGGCGCAGGCCGGCTGGACGTGGTAGGTGGTGGCCGGGATGAGCTCGTGCAGCGCCAGCTGCTTCTCGATCTCCGCCACCGGCAGCGACTTGGGCAGGTCCTGCTTGTTGGCGATGACCAGCAGCGGCGTGCCCTGGTTCTCAGCGAACTTGGTTACCTTGTGCAGCTCGGTTTTGGCCTCTTCCAGCCGGTCCACGTCTACCGAGTCCACAACGTAGATGATGCCGTCCGTGCAGCGACTGTAGGATTTCCACAGCGGCCGCAGTTTCTCCTGGCCACCCACGTCCCAGAAGTGGCAGCTGATGCCCTTGGCCGTGCCGTTGCTCAGCTTGATCTTCTCGGTGTTGAAGCCGATGGTGGGGACCGTGTTCACGAACTCGTTGAACTTGAGCCGGTACAGCACGGTGGTCTTGCCTGCCGAGTCCAGGCCCAGCATGACGATGTGCAGGGACTGGAAGGCCGAGATGTTGGAGGAGATGTTGCCCATGGCTCCCGGCTGCGCGCGGCCGCTGCGGCTCAGGAGGGCGCCGCCCCCGGGAGGGCGAGGCGCGGGCCGGGGCGCGGGGTCACAGCGCGGGCATCGCTTCTCCGCGCCGCTTTTGTCTCTTCCTGCCGGGCCGCCGCCGCCTCCCGGCCGCGACGCAGGATGCTCGCGCCCCGCGGCGCCCTCCCCTGCCGGGCTGCGCGGCGGCTTCTGCTCCCGGCTCCTGGCTCTCGACTCTCGGCTCCCGGCTCCCGGCTCCCGGCTCCCGGCTCCCGGCTCCCGGCTCCCGGCTCCGGCCTTACGCGGCGCCACGGGGCCGCTCTCGCTCCCCGCGCACCTCGTAGCGCCGCGTCTCTGCCGGCGAGGACGACTCTCTGTCCCTGCAGTCACCTCGCCGCCGCCGCCGCCGCCAGCCTGCAGCGGCAGAGGGCTCCGGCCCCGCCCCGCATCGCCCCGCCTTGCCTCCACGCCCCGCCCACTCCCGAGACCCGTTTCACCCCTCCCACTCCCGAGGACACGCCCACTCCCGAGGCCACGCCCATCCATCCGAGGCCCCTCGCTCTCGCCCTGCCCTCTCCAGAGGCCACGCCCCATTTCGGCACCTCCCCCGCGCGGCCGCTGTACTGGGCCGGCGCCTCTGACCCTGTCCAGGCGCTGAGTCGGTGCCCTCGGCTGCCGTCCCCTCCCGCGCCTGGTTGCGCGGCACAGACAATGGGCCCGGGTCGGCTCTTCCTCCCCGGCAGCTGACGCATGCATCTTGCAAAAATAGCTCGCTGCCACCGGAACCTGAGCCCCACCCGGCCGCCGCCACTCGGAGTGCCCGGGTCGGGGACCCCGCCGGTTCCCTGCGCCACGGGGCGGGGGTCGGCGCCCGGGAGGCCTAGCCAGGCGGGCGGGGGACCCAGAGGGAGGGGAAGGAGGGAAGGCGCGACCCTCTCCCCATCTGTCAGCGCCCTCTGAGCTCAGCAGTCCAGGGGAGCTCCAGGGGGCGCCCTGCAGGCCCCGCGGGGAGGGAGACTCCCATCCCAGGTGACTGGTGACCCGCAGTCCAGGGTGCCCCCAGCTGTCTGATCCTATTCCACCGACCCTGCCTCTCATCCCCGACACCCCACTCTGGGGATCCCCCGCCTGCAGGACCAGCTTCATGCAGCCTGGGGCCCCACGCCCACTTGGGCTGGAAAATCACGGTAGTTTTGGGCTGGTGGCACCACGGAGTGCACACACCAGTGTCGCTGGATGCCACCTCCTGTCATGCATTCGGTGGTTTTCATTTGCAAGCACGGCCTCGCGGGCAGGGCAGGTGCTGAGAGCGCTGCTTGTGGGTACCCGAGGGTGATGACTGCAGTGGGAGAATGAGAAGATGAATCATGTGTGGACTGAAAAAACGATGTATGTGTGTATATGCGCATGTATGTGTACTTGTGTTTCATACGAGGTTTAGTAACTGAAATAAACAGTGAGTGTTCAAGTTTTATCATAGTAAAGGACACATTACCATGAATCCCTTCACAATCTTGGCCTCATCATCTTTGCCACTTTCTGAAGCAGTTCTGGAAGACTTCTTTCATGGGTGTCTTCTTTCTGAGGTGTGATCAAAAACGTGATGAATGCTATCGCACACCATCCAACCGAAAGGTAGTTCGTAAAACACGACGCTGTGTCCCCACTCACCCTAGTCATGGGGTCCTGCACCTTGTGGCTTCCAGCTCTTCTCCACAATCAAAACAGTCAGGCGAGGTCAGTTGTGCTGAATCAGTTCAGGACCTGGAGGCTGCTGTGACTGCTGCTAGAGCCAGGAAAGAGGACTTTGGAACTGCTCCAGAAGGTGACTGTGCGTAAGAATGTTTCAAGCAAGGGCGAGTATCCTGGAGGGTGGGTGACAACGTGTTTTTCAGTGCAGTGGCTTAATAATTTCCCTTTGCTGCCTTCCTTTCACAGGCTAGGATGAGTTATCCGATTTCATTTGTACCAAAATGCGTGGGAAGGCCACATCTCTTCAGGGAAGGACGAGCCTGCATCTTCAGAATTCCCCAGTGGTCCCGGCCATGGCAGAGGTTCACTCAGCCTCAGCCAGGGCTGTATTGGGGGACGTCGGCACCGGAGGGGGCTCTGGGACACCCCTTTATTCCATCACATGAGGAGACCAAGGCCCAGATGGTGAGGGTCCCTTCATGTGGACCATGACAGCAGTGTCGTCCTCCCCAGGGGCCCTCGGAACAATGGGTGTGCATGACTCCTTCTCAGGGTACCAAAACTGCCAGAGATGCTGGAATCCCTTGTATGCCAGAGCTTGTATACATTCTGCCACGCACTGTAACTCCGCTCCAGAGTCACTGTAATACCTAACACAGTGTGAATGCTGCATAAGTAGTCATTACACTATATTGTTTAGGGAGCAATGACAAGAAAAAAAGTTGATAGATATTTATACAGATAAAACTATTCTCAAGTATTGTCCATCAGCAGTTGGTTAAATCCATGAACACAAAACCTATAGTCACAGAAGACTTTATGCCAAGAGGTAAGGTCCTACGTTCTCTCTCCTTCATGCCAATATCCACCAATATTTATTGATTGACTAATTGCATTTGGAAATCTTACTATGCCGTTCAGGCTGGCCTTCAACTCACTATATAGCCCAAGCTGGCCTCAAACTCACGATGATCCTCCTGCCTCAGCTTCCCAAATGCTGGGGTGGTGGGTGTGCCCCACCCTATGGGGTTATCTTCTTAATTTAATGAAGAATAAAGTTGTAGGCTACCTGAATTCAATCAGAAAGGGCAGAAATTCAGGGTAAGTGTTTGCTTCAAGTGTGGCTGGATTAAGGAACTCAAAAGTAGACTTTAGGTCCAGTCTTCTCCATCCTACCTCTGTTTTCTCTGTGTTGATTCTTTTTCCAGCTGGCATTGAGGGCCCACATCCTTTACATCCGAGAAGGATAAAGCTGTACCTTTTTTTTTTTTCCTGGTAACACCAACAAATCCTGGAGCACATGTGATCCAGTACCCTGACTGCTGTAACTCAGGCTAAACTTTGATGGTTCCCAAAGAACCAGGGCACCGTAACCGAAAGAGCCAATGGCAGTGAGTAAGCAAAAATAGAATTCCGTGTAATGCACAATGATGTCACCTCAGTGCCCGGGAACTCTGGGAAGACAGGACTGTGTGTTTTCGCAGTGATTGTCTTGGCTGTCTTCGAGGGCTCTCCCGTAAATAACCAGTGTCCCCCCCTTGGTGTGTTTACCCTTGCTCTGTCTTTCCTCTTTGCAGCAGACGGGGCTGAGGCTGGGAACCCATCCAGAATGAACAAGGGACAGCCAGGCCTGGCAGCCTCTCCTCCGCCTCCCACCAACGCTGCGTCACAGTCAGAAAGCCACTGCGTCACCGGTCCTGTCCAAGTCAGGCTGTGCCCAGACCACAGGTCTGCAGGAGGGGCATGTGGTAGTAAAGTCCCCCACAGGCTGATCTCTGCCATCGCCTTGCAGTTGTGATTGTGCCCCCTGCATTTTGCACCCCCGAGGCGGGATTCAGCAGTCAAGGGCTGTCTGTGGTCCAGTAGAAAAAGCAGGTTAACAGACATTAATAGAGCCTTCTAGAACAGAACCACTAGATACCGACTCTCCATTCTAATTTCACTCACCAGGGAATAAGTTGATTTTACAGTTGATAATTTAACTTCTAACACATAAGAAAAAAGTCATCTGCTTGAGTCAACTGGAACTCTCCTTTGAATATGGATTTCTGCTGAAAAGCATTGGTATCAGAGAAAGGAAAGGAATGTTTACTGGAGAGACCACAGGGCTGCTGCAGGATTTTTCCCTTGCAGGCCAACCTTACAGCCCAAGCCCCCGCAGGCCTTTCTCTACCCTAAGAAGAACGGGTCTGAGATGAAGATCATGTCCAACAGCCTTGTGCTTTACATCTGCATGCCCTCCGAGGGGGACTCGGCTATTTCAAGGAGGCAGAATGCAGTACCTTGGCAATAACTTCGCAATTGTGTGCTGGGTCACCTGAAGGCTTTAGAGACAGTAGGCCACCCGTGAAAAGGACTGCTGAGTGGACCAAGTGAATAGGTCGCTGTTATCTTTGGGTGAGGCTGATAGGATGAATTGAAAGGTGAGCTTCCTAACCACACCCGGGGATCCGGTGAAGGCCAGAACATGGGTGCCCTTGTACGCCCCTGTGTCGTGACTTGCTTGTTCTCTCTGGAAATGAATGTCCCATGCACGCTGAGTTCCGGGTCCTGTGTAACTGTCCCAGTGCGGGAGCGCCCTCTTCTGAGCCTGCTGGGTAACAGGCAGAGGTCTGCAGAGGCATTCTGCCGGCTGCTTACAAAAACATTCACTGTTTGCAGAACTCATGAGCGGATGGGGGCAGCCTGACCCTTTCTCCATCTTGGAGGAGTCAAACGTGCTTATCTGTAGTTACACTTGTTACCCGCAGGATGGGCCAAGCACCCCTGGTGCCTCTAACTCAGCGCGTGGGAGTGTTCTCCTCAGAGGCCGGCCGGCTAGGGTGGCTGTTTGCCAGGAGGGAGCTCTGGGTGGGAGCCAGACAGGGTAGCAAAGAATCACGAATTGATGGAAAAGACCAGAAACAGAATGTGGAAGCCCAGCTACATGAGAGGTGGGGAGAAACCAGTTTCTGAACCTCTTTGGAGGTGGGACAGACACACCCGCACATGTACACACATGCAAACACACGCACACACACGTGCGCGCGCAAACTCACACGTGCGCGCACACACATGGGGAGAGGGGGCTGAAGAGCAGAAAGGACAAGCCAGGTAGCCAGGATCACAGCCTCTTCCGGGGAGAGCAGCCCCTTAACGAAGAGCCCCTATCCACACCCCTAGACGTCTGAAGGACTGGTGGGCCACCAGGGTCCCCACAGCTGCACAGTGACTATCTCCACTCCAGGACAAACGCTGGCAAGGGCCAGGGATATGGCTCAGCGGCACAGCGCCTGCCTAGCAAGCCTAAGGTCCTGAGTTCGATTCCCAGTACCAAAACATAAATAGAATAAAATAAAGAAATGCCAGCATCAGGCCACAAGAAGCAATGACTGACACAGTGGTCACGACAGCCTTGGCAGTGAAATGGATCTGTCACCCTCTTATCCATGTAAGTTCGTGATTTTAGTGAAAACAATGTCAGCGTGCCTTATCTTCTGTTTTTCCGTGTTCTCATTTCTCCAACCATTGCAAGCCGGAGCATTTTGTGTTATCACTGCTGGTTTTGGTTGAACCAGAAAAAGAAGACTTTATCTCCCTCATTCACGTCTTCACTAATAATTACTAACCTCTATTATATGCCCAAAACAGATATGAAAATTCAGACAGTATTACGTTTCCCATAACTAGTACCTTAAATCTCATTCTTACCTAAGGTGATATTCAGCCTCTCTCTAATGCTTAACCTGTGGTACTAAGTGAAGTTC